GGGGGGGGTGAGGGGATGGTGTTAGAGGGAGAAGCCTCCCCCTCCTCCTGCCTCACACTCACTTTGTTTTGAAATGTACAGAGGGGGCCGCCATGATCCCGGCTCATTCCCTTCCGCTCCGTCTCCCCGCCACAGCACGTTTCCAACCTCCACGCCGGGCACTTCCGGCGCGCGCCGTCGCGTCACAGGCGGCGCGCCGTCGATGACGCGCATCGATCCCATGGCAACAGCGCACGGTGAGTGACGGCTCCATACTGCACTCTGGTGGACGGCCAGGATCCTGCAGGCGCTCAAGCTGTCCTCTGCCGCCCGGTATGATACACAACACAGACAGAGGCCGGTTGGCCCTTCCAGCTTCTGCCAGCCCTTTGGAGAGTTTTCCCCTTCACCTACCCAACTCCCTAGCACTTTCTGATCTCGTTCAAATTGGAACTGGATACATAATTGAGGGAAGCATTTCTCTTTCTAATGGGGAAAGTGGGGGAGTAGCTCAAACTGATTCTGTTTTACCAGGGGCTGGATAGTCTTCTCCTGTGCTAAATTATTCTGTCTCTAAATATGTATTCAATTCTGAGCATTACTACTGATTCTGTTTCACTTTCAGGTAATAACACTCTAAGGTTGTAACATCTAGCTACATAAAATGATCCTCCTCATTTTCCCTCACATTCATTCTTTCCTCAATTATATTATTTCTTTGTCATCTAAGAACACGCTGTCCTGCCACTGGAAAGCTTTTCCTTATTGACTTTATCTTCAATGACATAACATGGGAAATCATTCCCAATTCAGTAGACAAGATTAATTCAGTGGTTCATAAGCCTCCCAATATATTGAGACTATAAGGCAACAAGCAGGTTTCCCCAGCTCCAACTCATTTTGAGTCGTGGAAGGGAACAATTTTAATTCAATGAAGAAAGGACTTGTGTATATGCAAACTAGCTCTTTAAACAATAACAGCTTCAGCTTAAAACTTTATAACAAATACCAAAACAACATTTTGTGTACAGATCCAATATCAAACAATCTTTCAAACTAATAATAAAATTAACCTCAAGCTTTAACCACATAATTCTGCCATTCAGTTAGGTCATGTCTGATCTGTGAATTATCTCACAAAATGCAGACAGTCACGCAGTTTCCCATCTTCCTTCAGATCTCCTTTGCTATTTTTAGTTGTTTTACTTCATGTATAAGTACATCAGATTTGTATTGATGAAATGTGGTGATTCCCTAAAGGTATTTTTCCATTTTGTTTGGCAGTTTCAGCATGTAAACACAGTATGTTGGTTAACTCAACTTCTCTTTCAATGTCGAGATGACAACTCTGGGCAGCACAGTGACTCACTGGTTAGCATTGCTGCCCCACAGTGCTAGGGGTGCAGATTTGATTCCAGCCTTGGGTAATTGTGTGGAGTTTGCATATTCTACCTGTGTCTGTATGGGATTCTCTGGGAGTTCTGGATTCCTCCCGCAGTCCAAAGATGTGCAGGTTAGGTTGATTGGCCATGGGAAATGCAGGGATGGGGTGGATCTGGGTGGGGTACTCTTCGGAGGGTTGGTGTGGACTCAGTGGGCTGAATGGCCTGCTTCTGCATTGTAGGGATTCTATGAAGTTAATTTAGGAACCACATGTGCATGTTGCAAGATTTTAGGATAATTCTGCAATAACGTTAAGAGCCAATAGATTGTTTAATTTTATGCCTTTTTTTGATGGTAGATCTTCACAAACAATTAACTGTCAGCATGATAGGACAACGTGTTGAAATTTGGCTCACTTTATGATAAAATGCATTTCTGGCTCTCGTATATTTGGTCAGGATGGTGTTCATTAAGTACAAAATTCCAACATCATCCTTCAGGGATCTAAAGATATGGAGGGATTAGGATATTGACATCAATGATTATAAAGGATCTTAATGAATGATGGTTTAGACCCAGGGCTGAATGACCTACTCTTGCTCCTATCTTCTATGTAATAATGCTATGTCTATCTGTGACAGGGTTTCTTGAACCAGAAAAAACATCATTAGATGTCTCTGTTTTAAAATAAAGCAGGCCCTAATTTACTTTCCTAAGAGCTATTTAATTGGTTTTTAAAAAATCAATTCTGTCCTAAAGCATTGTTTTTTAAAAAAAATTGGACAGGAGCAAAATGCACTCTAAATGTTTTCCAGGATTCTTTCTCTCTGTTAAGTCTGGATGAATTGACAATATAAAACCAGAGATTTTTGTCAGGCACGTTTATTAAAGGATCAAAGCAGGTCCATTGAAAATAAGATACATATCTGTCAAGACCTAGCTGAATTGCAGAACGTCTTGGAAAGGTTGATAAATCTGCTTTCCTTAAGTTCCAACAGACAAGGACTACTTTTTTTTTGAAAAAAAAACACCTTTTTTCCCCCAAAAAAGCCTTTCATTTAGATTTAGGTTTTTTTTTAGATTTAGATATTTTGTTGTCATGTGTACTCAAGTACAGGAGTACAGTGATACCTTAGATACAAAGGTACCTAGGTACAAAAAACTTAGGTACAAACTAGTAAGAGAAGCAGAGTTAAAAAGTTAAACATTATCTTCATAGGGTAGAAAATAAAGAAGGTCATTGTTTCACCATGCTTCCAGTAGAATCCACCACAGTTCAAAGCATTCGCTGCAAACCTATTGAACTCAGCTCTTTAGAATCCCATTCTATTCACTTGTTTGCATTTCCACGTATTTCTATATTGTGTTTATTTTGTTATGTAGAGAGTACTAAACGCATCCTCCAGATCAATATCAATGGTCAAATGGCCAGAGAGAGAGAAAGAGGTTTCCGGGGAGGGATTTTTTTTGTACAAAGGCGCGTTTTGTTGGAAATAGCAACCAGACAACGGGGAGATGTGATTGGAGAGTAGGGTGTGATCATCTGACTGGGCAGAAAAAGCATACATTCCCAATGGGTCACAGGACAGATTTGGAGTGACATGGATTGGAATGAGGAAGAGTTGCAGGTAATTGGTACTGAGTTCTGAAGAAGGGTTACTGGATCCAAAACATTAAACTTGCTCTTTCTCCCTCTCATAGGTACAGCTAGACCTGCGGAGTTTTTCCAGCTATTTCTGCTTTGGTTTCTAGTTTCCAGCATTCTTTGAGTTTTTATTTCGTTTACTTGGCAAAGCTGGCTGTTTGAGCTAGAAAACCAGAATAAACTGCACCAAAGTTCTGGTTCCTCTAGTCTGTTGGTCATTATGTGAAAACTAGGCTTTCTGTGCGTAACTGAGTAGCGTTTTAAAAAAAAAATTAAGCTGGCGCTGTGTTTGTCAAAAGTCACGACCATCACACACAGGAGGTAGAACTTTGTGCAGGGAATGGATTTCGAGGCTTCTACACCCAGCTCATTTTGTCTCTCTCCCCTTGTTACTGCCCTTCCCTGTGCTACTTTATTCCTTATGTTTTCAGAGCCTTTCGAAACACTTTTTACAGGGAATGTTTATAATTTGTTAAGTATTGGGAATGAGCTGGGGTGTTTTTTTTTACGGTGAGACAGAGTACTTGGAAGTACTTCAAAGCCAGTTAAGTAAGGAAACTGAGGGTTGACTTGTATTTTTTCTAATTTAGAGCAGGAAAGTTACAAATTATAATGCCTGTTTCTCTCCCATTACATTTGCTGTCTGGAATTACAAGTAACTCCTGTTATTTGGATTTGATTGCTTTTAAACTGTTTTCTCAAGAGGTGCCCTTTTACAAGCATGGCCAGGTGAACTGCTAATTGTTACTTCTTCAAACCTCAGGGTTACCATGAATAACGTGTAGGAGCAATATTCCACGATGTCAATTATTTACCTAATTATAATAACTTGCTAGCATCAACTTTGAATGCAAAGATACCATATGGTACAAAACTCCTAATTTGTAATGTATGGTGAATGATTCACGTTCTTGACTTGGTGCCATTCTCTAAGATTAGGAATAATCTTGTGTCCCCAAGATTCTGAACTTAATCCTTGCTATCTCAAAAAAAATGGTTCCATGTTCCTTTTTTGCTTTTGGATACTCTTTCAACACAGGACTAAACTTTTTTTCCCCACCCTGAGAACATTTCTGGTTAACTTATTAAAATCAGCTGAACCACTTGTCTGTTCGTGCTTTACCTCTGCTTTTCATTCTGTTCTTGTACTGCAGTGTTGTAAGTTGCTTATTTCCCAGTCACACTGTGGTATCATGTGCCTCTTGGGATGCATAGCTTTCTTCTCACAACTTCAATCTAACTCACCCAATGACCTTGCCAGAGCTGTGGGAGACGTTGTTCTCTAGTAGCAGCAGAAGATTCACATACCAATTGGCTGCTGTTAGAGGTTAGGTAGCCAGAAAAAACAACTTTCTAAGTCATAAACTGTGTCTCTACCAATAGTTGTTTCCTGTTATGCATCACTTGCTCTCCAACTCCCTCTAGCGAATTAAGAAAATAGTTCTTCATTACTAAACTTGCTTTCCGTAAAGCTTGAGTGCAAGCTCTCTGCATAGCTGTGGGGAAACCATTAAAGCAATCCGCAGGAATCTCAAACACTGTCACATCTACTAAGAAACACAATGGTTCCTGGACCTTGTAGGAAGTGTTATTCTGGCTGCCTGCTCCTTCTCTGTGGAGGTCTCGGTGCTTTAGAGAGAGCAAGCATAGGAACAGGAACAGGAGTAGGGTGTTCAGTGCTTGAAGCTTATTCTAACATTCAGTGACCTAACTCCATAATGCTTGCCTTTACCCTCCGTAGACCTTCTTGTGTTAAATTTACAAGAATCAATTAATATAATTTTAATATGACATTAAGTCAACCATCAAAGATGTCGGTGAGTCCTCTTTTGGAGTACCGTGTGCAGTTTTGGTCTCTCTGTTACAGAGAGGATACTATTAAACTGTAGAGGGTTCAGAAAAGATTTACCAGGATGGTACTGGGAATGGAGGGTTTGAGTTAAAAGGACAGGCTGGATAGGCTTGGACTTTTTTCACTGGAGTGTAGGAGGTTGAGGAATGACCTAATAGAGGTTTTTAAAATCATAGGGTGTCTTTTCTGTCGGGCAGGGATTTCAAGACTAGGGAGCATTTTTGTTAGGATGAGAGGAGAAAGATTTTAAAAAGGGCATGAGTGGCATCTTTTACACAGTGCGTGGTTCGTGTGTGGAAGGAACTTCCAGTGGAAGTGGTGGATGTCAGTACAGTTACAATGTTTAAAATACATTTGGATAAGTTCATGATTAAGAAATGTTTGGAGGGATATGGGCCAAGCGCAGGCAGATGGGACTAGTTTAGTTCGGGATTATGGCCAGCATGGACTGGCTGGACTGAAGGGTCTGTTTCGCTCAATGACTCAATACTGTTAACTGTAGAAGCAAGTTATAAATACTAACACTTAGTAGATTTTGTTTTATTAACTTTGCTCCTGAAAGGTCTGACTCTAACTTTTAGACTCTGTGCCCTAAGTCTGGATTCCACAACTAACAGAAATAGGTTAGATAGAAACTCCCAGATTTAATTTAAATACCTTAAATGTTGATCAGAGAAGGTGATCTTCTAAATTCTGAGAATACAATGTTAGTGTTTTAATCTTGCCTTGAAACTGAACCATTAATTCAGGAATCGTTGTAGTAAATTTATGCTGCAGTCCCTCCAAGACCAATCCTACTTAGTGAGGTGTCTCGCACTAAGCAAAGCACATCAGGTATTGCCTCCTCAGAGCTTTGTTTCACTAGGCTTAACAAAAACCCCTCATTCATTCCTCTAGGTGCAATGCCCAGCATTCCACACCATTTTGATCATTTTCTGTACCTGTCCCTGGTGTTTTATTGATTTTTGTATATGGAGTCTCAAGTCTCTTTTGAGCCGTGTTCTTTCATTTTGTTTTGCTACAAATTAGAATCCTTACATGTGATAACACAAATCTATTTACAATGCCTATTATTGTCATTGACTGACTAACTACCTGAAGGTCTGGCTTTTAATCTGGCACTGTGGCTCAGTGGTTAGCACTGCTGTCTAACAACTCCAGGAATCAGGTTTGATTCCAGCCTTAGGTGTTTGTGTGTGTGTGTCACATTCTCCCCATGTCTGTGTGGGTTTCCTCTGGGAGCTTCAGTTTCCTCCCACAGTCCAAGGATGTGCAAGTTAGGTGTATTGGCCGTGCCTATGTGCCCATTAGTGTCCAGGGGTGTGCAGGATAGGTGGGTTAGCCATGGGAATGCAGGGTTACAATGATAAGCTGGAGGATCTGGTGGGGGTGCTGTTTTGGAGGTTCGGCGTGGACTCAATGGCCTGATTTTTCTGCCCATTTTAAGTGAAAAAAGAAAACTAGCATGTTCTTCATCACCTGGGGTATTAAATAGGGTATCCCCACTACTGACAGGTTTTCACAGTGGATTCTGAGTGTGTTAATTTGACAAAAATGTGTCTCTCCCTGAAGCAGACCACACAACCCTTGCATAACCACAAATGGACATTTCCACATACAGTTAGACTGACAATGAGCAGTAATAGCTGCAGCCTGTAATACAGATTGGACAGTAAATGTGAGATTGTGTCATTGAAGGCAAATTGGGCAGCAAAGCAAAGCAAAGCTGGAGTGTGTGTTCCATGGCTGGAAATGGAAAAAGGAGCTCCAGTCTTGGCTAATGAGGCATTCACCACCCCACACACAGACCCTTGGCACCAGATTAGGTTAGGGCCTGGACGGGAGGGATTACAATGGATATGTGTTCTGACATCATTCTCCTCCATGCCAAAATTGAATAGATTTTAAGATCTCAGTTAGAGAATTAATTGATTTTTTTTGTTTGTTTTTAAAACAGATCTTCCTAGTTGCGTATTTCCCAGACATGGAGCTAAACTGGGAATGGCTTGCTGAAAAGAATTTAGAGGATGAAAAAGCAGGGTACTGAGGGGAGAGGATATTGGTTTTTATTTTTCACCAGGTATTGGCTGGTGATGAACATTTCTCCTCTGAAAGCCCTAATACATTTGCAGATGGGCTTTCTGGTTGTTAGTGAACGATCTGCTCAGAGGAAAGGAGGGACAGAGGGGAGATTCCCCAGTTTCAAGAGCCTCTTTCTCAAAGAGCTCTAGCCTGTAGTACTTTAGGTGTTTACCATGGTAAAACAGTGCACTGGGATGAATTGATCTACCATGATGCAGCCTGGGGATGGGTCTATCATGGCCTTTGGAAGTGTTGAGAGAGGTGAAAGTAGAAGCCATTGGGGATCCTTTTACTGGGCTGTGTGAGAATGCAGCGAAAAGGAGGAGACTCTCCTTGGTTACACTCCAGTTGGCTGGACTCATGACACCTGTGATTACTGTAGTAAGCCTGTAGGGGAAGTGGCTGACAAATAGTTCTCTCTTTTTGGTTGCTGGGCATTAATCTGGTCAAAGTTTGGACTTCAAAACCAATCTCCATCCTCTTCCCTCAGTCGGCACCTGAGAGGTGTAGATTTAAAAGTAAATGAGTACTGTCCAGTTCTAACAGGGTCTTCAAAAAGACAGCATTGTAGTGGCCCTGATGGAGGCTAGAGGGGAAATCAAAAGTAATTGCTGCAAAGCTCCTGCAGTATAAATCACAGGGATAGTGTCCTATCTCTGAGCCAGGAGGTCTGGGCTCAAATCCCTCCTCCCCTGGAGGTGTCAGAGCATCTACAAACACTGATTAAAATATTTTCAGTGATCTTGTGACAGCAATAAATCAAATCAAATCAAAATACAGTACAAGTGCAAGCACATAACAGAATGGTGAGCTGATTTCCCGGCTCATCTTGTTTTCACCCTCTGATATGCATATTTTAAAAGTCAGCCTGTTTAGATATGATACGATGATTCCATGGGGGATGTGAAGCCAGATCTTCTGACCCAGAGATAGGGACGCTACCATGCACATGCACCCAAGTACAGTGAAACGTTTTGTCTCGTGTGCAGTACACACAGGCCAATCACGGTGTTTAGACAGAGCAAGGCATACAAGGTTATGTTTTCTAGATGGTAACCTCACATCTGAATTTAAATGAAACCAATATTATTACTTAATTATGGATCTTGATGAAGGTGAGTGATGTGATGGTACTGGATGACTGCTTTCTGCAGTATGTTGTCCCTGATACCTCTGAGTTCAACCTCAGTCTGAGCAAGAACCTGTATGATACCTCTCCAATTCTCCAATATTCTTCCTGTCCTACTTGTTTTACACGCTGCTTTTTCCCCTCTTTCTCCGTTTCGTTCAGTCTTTAATACTCTCTTCAAATTGGGATAAAGTCTAAAATGTTTATGTATTTTGTTTTTTGATTTAGGATTCTGGATATGATATTGAACTGTTTGAAAATGTACCTGACCCTGAATTCATCTGCACCATTTGTCATGGTGTGCTCAAAGATCCTGTGGAACTCCTCTGCCAGCATGTCTTCTGCAGAGGCTGTGTTATGAAGTGGCTTACAGAGTAAAGACAATTTATTAATAACTTCTTAATAGATACATGCATAGTTCCTGATGTATTTCAATGGTGTGCATACCTTCTGTGGGGTGAGTTAATTTGAAAATGCTGGAACGTTGAACAAAAAAACTTTGTGAAAGCAATTAATTTTGATCCATCCCACTTTACATGTGGGCATATTTTCAAGGACTTCTTACAGAGTCAACTGAAACATCATACTTGCTGTTAGCCTGCAGTCATAGCAAACTCCTTGTATTTGTGAGGCTATTCAATGGAAAAGTCTTTTTTTTTTCTGCCCTAGATAAGTTGTATTCTGATCTGCTGAGGGGTGAAAAATGTCAACGTGAGATTTCTCTTTCCCTTTAGAAACCACCCTTGCAGCTACTTTTGAAAATTCTCTTGTCAACTAAAAGCAGGTTTTGGATTCTTCTGTTTGGAACAGAGGGTAAAACGTTCTCTGTTTGTTTGGATTAGGTTTGAATTCAGTTCGCAAAAGTTAGTGTATTCTTGCACAGGAGTGTCCACTCATCAGTATTTCAGAGCAAAGTACGTTATTTAGGAAATTGGATCTTTTCCAGTGTATGTGTAGCCTTTTAGGATCATAGAATTTTACAGTACATAAGGAAGCCATTCAACCCATTGTGTCTGTACCAGCTCCCAAAAGAGCTACCCAGCTAGTCCCAATCTCTGTAGCTGTCTAAATTCATCACTTTGAAATATCTATCCAGCACTGTTTTGAAACGTGCTATGGAATCCGCCTTCACCACTCTCCCATGCAGCACGTTCCAAATCCAAACAACACTGAGTAAAGAAGTTTCTCCTCATTTCACTTTTAGCTCTCTTGCTGACTATCTTGGAATTGTGGTCTCCTAGTTATTGACATAGCAACTCGTGGAAACTGAATATTTTTCTGTACCCTGTCAAAATTGTTCATAATTTTGAACATCTCAATAGGGTCACCTCTTATTCTCCTTGGACAGAGAGTGTTTAGCCCAATTTCTCTAACCTTTCCTTGTATCTAAAATACCTCATTCCTGGTATCAGTCTAGTAAATCTCCCTTTGAACTCTCTCCAGGGCTTTAACATCCTTCCTTAGATGAGGTACCTAGAACTGAACACACTATGCTAAACGTAGTCCAACCAATGATCGATAGAGTTGTAATAGCACCTTCTTGCTTTTATACCTTATGCTTCTATTTATAAATCCAAGGGTCCCAGAAGCTTCCTTAACTGTTACAAATTACCTGGCCACCTTCAGAGAATCATGTTCGTGAACCCCCAAGGTCCATCTGCTCTTGTCTTCCCCTCGGAGTTGTACCACTGAGCCTGTATTGTCTCTCCATGTTTCTTCTACCAAAATGAACTTCTTCATCTCTTTGTTTTGAAATAGAGATTTCCTTAGTTTTATCTCATTAAGGTAAATCTCAGTAGTCTCCACTTTTGTAGGTTCATAGATATTCATGATGCAGAATGTAAGCTCCTGTTTAGACATGGCCTATAATGGCTTTTGATTTGATTTATTATTGTCACATGTACTTAGGAACAGTGAAAAGTTTTGTTTTGCATGCAGTATGAGCAGATCGCATCATACAAAGTGCATTAGGATAATAGGACAGAGCAAGAAATGCAGTGTTACAGCTGCAGAGGGGATGCACAAATAGTGAGATCACATTAAATTTAAAACTTGAGAGGTCTGTTCAGAAGTCTAATAACAGCAGGGAAGAAGTTGTTCTTCAGTCTGGTATGTGTGTTTAAGTTTTTCGCATCTTCTTCCCAATGAAAGAGATTATAACCAGGGTAGGAGGGGTCTTTGATGTTGGCTGCCTTCCTGAGGCAACGAGAAATATAAATGGAGTCAATGGATAGAAGGTTGGTTTGTGCAATGAATGTTTCTGCTAGGGTGTCAATAGTTGTGTAGAATAACCTTGACACCCAGGATGGGGGAGAACATGAAGCAAGTTGTCTTTGGCTAATTGCTATCCAGTAACATTGCTGTACAATAGATCGCTGAAGATTCAACCCATTAGTTTGCTTGGGTATACAATCAAGTAGTCTAGCAAAGCTCAAACATGAACAGTGCATAGCTAGCTGAGGCTGCTGAGGATTACCTCTTCCATTTCCTAAATATTAGATCTGTAATTGGGAGAGGGAGAAAGATGAGAAACTGGAAAGGATATGTGGAGGTGACAGAATTCTTTTGGGTCTGCTAAACAACTGTTAAGAATTCAATGAAGTATGCATTGAAATGTTTGCATGAAAATATCACTTAGGCTGAAGTGATCTGCATATTAATTTGCTAGGATGGCACGGTGGCTCAGTGGATAGCACTGTTGCCTCACGGTGCCAGGGACCCGGGTTCAGTTTCAGCCTCGGGCAACCATCTATGTGGAGTTTGCACGTTCTGTCTGTGTCTGCGTGGATTTCCTCCAGATATTCCGGTTTCCTCCCACAGTCCAAAGATGTGTAGGTTACGTGGATTGGCCATGGGAAACACAGGGATAGGGTAGTTGGAGGGGGTGGGGGGGGCGGTCTGTCTCGGCTACTCATTGGAGGGTCAGTGTAGACTTGATGGGCTGAGTGGTCTGCTTCCACACTGTAGGGATTCTATGAAGTTAAGGCTTGTGCCTGTAAAACATGATACCAAAATAAACTTTCACAAAATTATATAAATAGTTCAAGGTGCTCAAATGGGTTGCCTAGTGAAAATGTTTTCCAGATTGTGACTGTATATTCTGGATTGGAGCAGGATTTGCTTGTACTTAATGGAATATACCTTTCCTCAGGAAGCAAGAATGTCCATATTGCAGGAAGAAGGTGAGAAGGGTGGCTCGATCTGTCATCCCTATGATCCACAACATGATTGCCCGATTGATCGTGAAGGTAAATTGTCCAACTAAGCATATATAACTGTTCTCAGTCACCAATTAAAATCTGTCCTGATTTAAGGACATCACCGTACTGCAGTGTGTAGTGTAAGATTTCAGTCCCTATGATTTCTCTTAGCCCTTTATTTTTTGCAATTCTGAGAGTAGTAGAATGTATGGCTGCCCTCTGAATTATTAGGGAAAAGCAGCACACGCTCACACAGCCAACACACATCTCATGAACAAAAAAAAAATCCTTTTGCCTTCCGATGAGGTCTTTCTGTGTTAGTGCAGGAGTCACAACAACTGCTCTTTTTACCTCCTTTCTCATCACCATCCAGGGTGTCAAACACTTCACCCAAGTGAAACATCGATGTGATATTTCTGATATTTCTTTCTCTTTGTGAGCAGTAAATTTGGTATACGAATGTGGTCTGCTCTACATTGGCAAGACCAACCAGATAGGAAGCCTCTTTATGGAATACCTTTGTTCAGATTGCAAGTATGAAGCTGAGTGGATGGTTGTCGTTTTCATTTTCCACCATGTTCTCATGCGAGCATCTCTGTCCTTGTTCCAATACGGCTCGACTTTTAATAGGGAATTTGTCCTTCTGAATACCATATTGATATTTCAATTGGTAATTTCTGCTCCCGCATTTTATATCCTTTTTTGTTTTTCCATCCAAGAACAACAGTCTGCCATTCGTCCTTCCTTTGGACATCTCTTTTTTTTTTTTTTTATTTGTTTGTTCACTTGTCCTAATCCCATCCCCTTTTGGGCCTTGCAAGCTATCACACACCTTCCTGTTTCTTTTCCGACCCTCCCACATTTCACCTTCTTTAACCTATTAGATTTCTAACTTTCCCAGTTCTGGTGAAGGATCTGTTTTTTTTTCCACTCTCCACATTGCTGCCTGACCTTATTTTTCTTTGTTTGTGCTTTTGATTCCAATTGATGTACTGTTATTGTTTCAGACATTATTTAGCCCTGGTTAAAGTTTACTCTTTCTGGTCTTGGTATGTCAATAATCCAGGTCCATGTTTGAGCAAATTATTCTGCGTTTCTCAAAATAAAGTGAAGTTCTCCTCCTGTTGTTGAATAACAGTTCTTTACATTTCTATAATGCAGTGTGAAAACAGAGTCTATGGCTGCTGGGAAACCTTTCCACTTGAACAGTACCCACAGCATAAAGCTGCTTGTGACTTTAGGATAGTGAAGTGCAAGCATGAAGCCTGTACAACTGAAGTATTTCAGAAGAACCTTGCTGCTCACGAACAGGTTTGCGAACACTGGAGCCAGCCGTGCAGAATGGGATGTGGCGTCCAACTTACCCCAAATCAACTGTCTGAACACAACTGTTACAAGGATGTGAAAAGAAAGTACAAAGAGAAGATCAGGGTTCTCAAAAGCCGTTTGTACAGAATGCACTGTCGCCTAAAGCTAGCCGAAAAAATTCTTCAGGATTTGGGCCCTCGGGATTGTTCCCAGCTCTCAAAGCATTTCGTCTATGTAGACGATGGTGAGTACTCATGTATCTGCACAAAATGGATCTCTAGAGTAAAATTGCAGAATGGCAGCAACGACCGTATTGCATGCAGGAAATTGAAATCTGACCAACTGTTGAGTGAACTTTGTGGCAGTATCTTGCAGAGAGTGAGAGATGACACCGAAACAATTCTCCAGGCAATGATGATCAGAGATCTGATGGAAAAATATTTGCATAGATTCTAATGCTAAGGATATAAAACCTAGCTTTTAACAATGATGGCATAAAGATTTTTAGCACCTGGTCTAAAATCCCAAAAACTGAATTGCACAACCTCAGTGGGCTTCCCAAACTCTTTGGTCCTAAAAAGTGATTTGGGTGTTTGTGAACTTTTAAGGCTGCTTTAAATTCTCAGTTTTTTTTTTTCTGGTGAGTATGGTCTTAATAGACTATGGTTTCTGAAGCTGGGGTGCTGCCAGAAAAAGCTGAATTGGCAGTTTTTATTTTAATTTTGGAGAATTGCAGAGTTTTCCGCCCTACGAGAGAAAGATGATTGGTTAGCAGGTGAACGTGGAGATGGGACGTGCAGTCTCAAAGCAGGGAGTGTGCCGATGCTGTAGTTTTGAGGTTTATCCCCTGGTTTCTTTTAAGAGAGATTGCTATAGATTGCTCAATGAGGTGAGGTGCCTGATAACTGGAGGCTTGCTAATGTTGTACCCTTTGTTTAAGGAAGGTTGTAAAGGAGAAACTGTGGAACTATAGACCTGTGAATCTGACTTTGGTTGTGGGCAGATTGTTGGAGGTTATTATAAAAGATGGGATTTATGGACATTCTAGAGAGGCAAAAATTGACTAGGGATAGCCAGCATGGTTTTGTGTGAGGAAAATCATGTCTAACAAACTTGATTTGAGTTTTTTTTTGGAAGTTACCAAAAAGATTGAGGGCAGAGCAGTAGACATTGTTTACATGGATTTTAGTAAAGCCTTGGACAAGGTTCCATGTGGCAGACTAATCAGTAAAGTTAGGTCACATGAGACTCTGTGAGCTTGCCAATTGGATACATAATTTGCTTAACAGCAGGAGACAGTGATGGAGGATTGATTTTTCCGGCAGATGTCCTGCCACCAGCAGTGTTCCACAGGGATTGGTTCTGGGTCCTCTTTTGTCATTTATAAACAATTTGGATGAGAATATAGAAGGCATGGTCAGGAAGTTTATGGATGACACCAGAATTGGTGGCATAATAGACAGTGAAGAAGGGACCTTGATCAAATGGGTCAATGGGCTGAAAAATGGCAGATGGGAGTTCAATCTAGATAAATGTGAGGTGTTGTACTAAAATGCAATACCAAACAAGAGGTAGGGTTTATGCAATTAATGGTAGGGTGTTGGGTAATGTTGTAGAACAGAGGAACCTAGGGGTTCAGGTACTTTGAATTTTGTGTTACATATGGATAGCATGGTTAAAAAGGTGTTTAGCACACTTGCCTTATTGCTTCGTCCTTTGAGTACAGGAGCTGGGAATTTGTGTGGAGGTTGTACAGGACATTGGTGAGGCCTCTTCTGGAATACTGTGTCCAGTTCTGTTTGCCCAGTTATAAGAAGAATATTATTAAACTGGAGAGGGTTCAGAAGAAATTTACCAGGATGTTGCCGGATACAGAAGGTTTGATTTATAAAGAAAGGCTGAATTTTTCACTGGAGCGAGGAGGTTGAGAAGTGACATTGTAGAAATTTATAAAATAATGAGGAGTATAGATAGTTAGTGTTCATCTAGGCAAAAGAAAACTGGGGAGCACATTTTTAGGGTGAGAGGAGAGAGATTTTAAAAAAGACATGAGGGACAAATATTTTACAGAGGGTGGTTTGTGAGTGGAATGAACTTCCTGAGGAAGTAGTAAATGTGGGTATAATTACAATATTTAAAAGATGTTTGCGTAGGCACATAAATAGGAAAGGTTTGGAGGGACATGGTGAGGAGCAGGCAGATGGGACTAGTTTAGTGTGGGATTATGTTTGGCATGGACTTGCTGGACAGAAGGGTCTGTTTCCATGCTGTATGACTGTGACAGGTACTGAGCTAGCTAGTTAAGACCACTTAAATAAACAGCTTCGGAGGCCTTGGCTTTTTTTTTTTAGTAAAACAGCCTTAATGTGTGTGTCCAGCTCTCTCATTAGGATTTCTGGGTTTTGGTTTTTCGGGGGGGGGGTGGTCATCTCAATACAGTTGGAAGCTTCAGTGAATGTCCCCTGGCTGCTACTCTCTCTGAGTTTTCTCGTTATTTTTTCCCTCTTGGATGGGAGAACTGCATGTGGGAATCTGTCTGGATTTTCCTTTTTGCCAAGTGGTGTGTTTGAGATGCTACTATATTGGAACAGTTAATTAGTAATAAGTACTGTATCTATTATTCTGTAAGTTTTCCAGTAGGTATTCTAAATTCCTTTGGTATTTTTAGCTACAGTGTTTAAATACATTGTTTTGCTTAACGTTGAGTAGTTCGACCAGGCATATTGCTTCTGGAACAGGCACTTCACATTTGCCTTTTAAAAATTAGAAAAAGTTAGGGTCTAGGCTACCTTCTTAAACTATTTGGAAGGGGTTTGGTCTGATCCATAACAGGAGAGATGGGTAATGCACGACATTTCTCCTTACACCCATCCCTGTCCCTTCATTAATCAATGTAAGAGACTTCCCCACCTTATTCAACTGTTGCACCGCGGGTCTGAGTCTGAGTTCTTTATAAAACTGCCGAACAAATTTGATGTAAATTAATACATTGCTTTTTGAACTTGCAGAAGTTTCTCTTTCCTATGTTCAATTGCACTAGGGTATAGTAGATTTTGGGGTGCTGATTATTTGCAATATTGAATGAGAAACCTGATAAACCTATTGGTTGACAGCAGGCAAAATTGCCATGAACTCTGCTGCCTTTCGATTAAAAGTCCAGCTCATATCCATGAGGGAAGTGAACCTGCCACCCTTCACCAATCTGGCCTAATATAACCACACTACATTTCTTACAGTGCCTGAAATGAATTTGCAAACCATATGGCTGTGCACCAGTCGTTTGGGTAAGAAATGTGGTCAGCATTTCCCACATCCTAAGAACAAAGGATTTTTTTTTTCTGTAAAGTAACACATGTTGGATGATTGCATTCCAGGTATTCCTGCCAACTTGAACAGACTTAACTGGAAGACTTATTTTCAAATTTCTGGCTTAAAAACTGGTTTCTGTGATTCAAGTGTTTGCAAATTTGAGAACTGCATGAAAAGAACAAGTTGCTTGAGACCACAGCTAACATCTCGAGGTCTAACTTGCATAGGAGTGCATTTTATTTTGTTCTGAAGTTTGAGCTTTGTACAGTCCTGTTGAATACTATCAACAACCAGAATAGGCTACCCTATTTTGAGATGTTGATACAATAATAAAAATGCAACTGATGTATTTTTGTCTTTCAGAAAGTGAGGACTTGGCTGCTGAAGGCCAGGAAGAAGATCACTGCAACATTTTGGATGCATCTGAATATAGTGAAAATGAAAGCCTGTATTCCTGGCACTCAAGTGACTTGGATAATGGAGAAGGACCAGTAGCAGTTGAAGGCAAGTTAGGACAGAACTGGAGAGTGGGTGCAGAGAAGATGTTATTGAATTAAAAGATGACTTGTTTGAGTGTGCAATAAATTTAATAGAATTATCTAAATAGCAACTGTCAAGTCAAGGTTAACATGATGTGTTTAATATAGAAAAATGCTTTGCAAACATCAGTCAGACAACCAGAAAAGTTCAATAAATGGACTTCACAATTATTGAGAATATACGAAGGTACATTGTTTTAAGGGGCCTTAATGAATCAAATCTCTTCTGGCTGGATCTGCTACTTCATATGTTAGACATGTCTAAGGCCCACAGATCTTTTATCTTTCTAATCACTCAAACATGTTTCACAGACTGCATGCCATCTGATATGGTGGCACAGGAGAGACCTGGATGGGTGGTTATCAAAAATATTTTGGGCACTATAACAATCCTTTAGTTAAATTTGGGGAAGCAAAAAAAATTTAAGTTCCAATTTGAGGTAGTGACTTCCTTTTTAAAGGAAAAAAAAGTTGTGCTTCAAATGAACACTATCCAGGCTTTGTTAGTTACCTAATTCTATTGCTACAGAGTTGCAAAGTAGGCCCTTGAGTGATTCTTTGGCCTTACCCCTAACATTTCTGAATTCCAACAGGTTTTCTCGTTTCACCAAATGCCAACTTGGCTGTGTCAAAAATGTGCTCTGGTAATTGCCACTGATCATGTGTTGAAGGTATGGCAGCTGTGGTTACTTGCTATGTGATTTCTGTTCCACGACTGCCTGCTTATTTAATGAATCACAATGCTGAGAAATCAAGTTTGTATACAATGACAATATGCGGGAGTCAGAAGACTGCTCTTGAAACTCGAAGATTTAAAAACTAAGCACAGCAATAGATATTGTTGTCCTCTTCGAGCCATTCAACACAAATCAGGAATGATCTTCTGTTTCCATGTCCACATCCCTTTACACTTTCTCTGATGAAAAATAAGTTGACCTTAACCTTGAATAGACACTATCATTGAGCCTCCGTAATCCTCTGCAATAGAGAATCTCAAAAGTTTGAGGCCTTTCAAACAAATTTGACTTTTTCTAGCATTTTGTACTAATCAGCCTGTCATTTCTGTGCTAGCTCCCCAGAGGAGCTATTCGCGTAGTGCCAGTACCCACCACCTCCCTATAATCCTGCATTGTTTTTTCTGTTTCATGTAACAAACCAATTCCTTCTTGATAGGCTCTGTTGAATCTTCATCCACACCATACTGAAGCAGTGCATTCCAGATCCTAACCACATACTGTGGAGACATTTCTCCTCGTGTCTCTTACTACTTTGGCCTATCACATTAATTTTGTGCCTTTTCGTACTTGATCATTCCGCCAGTTGGAACAAATTTTCCCCACTTATTCTCAGACCCTTCACGATGTTGAATACCTCAATCAAATATCCTTTCAACCTTCTCTTCAAAGAAAGCAGTACCAATTTCTCCAATCCATCTGCATGGCTGGAGTTCACTTCTTTCCTTAAATATTGCCCTCATGAGACACATTTTTCCAGTTGAGGCTGAACAAGTGTAATGTAAGTTTAGTGTATTGTCCGTGCTCTTGTATTCTCTTCCCCTATTAATAAAACTAAGGTATTGTATACTGTACTTATTAACCACTTCAATCCTGTCCTGCCACCTTCCATAATATATACTCACATACATCCAAGTCCTTTTGCTCCACACCATTGTCAATCTTCTCATCTCAGTTCTAAATCATCAGTCCCTTACGCTGACGCTGTATCCCAATGTTCAAAATTCCCCAACGACTTGGAAACTACTTATTTGTTTGTTGTATTAAGACCTTGAGATTACCTCTCAACCCTCTAAACTGCAGAGGCTAGACCCAATCTATTCAGTCTCTTATTGTAGGACAACACTCTCATTTCCAGGTACTAATCTTATGATTAGTTTGGACTGTACCATCTCCAAGGCAAAATATACCTTTCCTTTAGATATGATCTTGCCAAACCCCTATGCAATTTGACATATTGTCCTTGGGTAGGAATGTCAATGGCTAGGTCAGCATTTATTGTTACTCCTAACAGCCCATGAGAAGGTGAATGAGTCACCGTTTTTGTACCACTGCAGTCCATGTTGTTATGATCCCAGCTATTGGTACTGGACAAGTCAGATCCCTGAGTGAAGCCTGGCTCAATGGTCCAAAGTTTTATTTTCCTTTGTTCACAAAGAAGTCAATCTCTGAACATACTCACAAAAAAGCTGCCAGTGTACTTTTAACGAAGGAACATAAAAATGTATTATACAGGAGACAAACACAAACTATATTACACAGGGCAAGAACTACTAAAGTAAGTAATCTCATTATAAACATCAGAAAGATTCATCACTTTTTTTCTTTAATCCCAGAAATACCCTTAAAGATACTTGAACCTCAGTGAGTCACCTGATCTCTCTCCTAGCTTCTTGCTCAGCTGGCATGGCTGTATTGGTTTCCTTCTGGCAAATCGTTATGCCTTCACTTAATGCTGTTTTCTTCAGTTAATGTTTCCCTCAGGCATCCTTAAAACAATCTGCTTGTTCAGCTTGTTATTGCTTAACAAAGAATCGAAGTGGGCCATTTGACTTGTATGTTCCCTAAACTTCAACAGTCTTTGTACTGAAGTTGGTTGGCTCGCCGAGCTGGTTTCTTGTTTCACAGACGTTTCGTTACCATGCTGGGTAACATCCTCAGTGCTGCCTCCGATGAAACGTCTGTGTGTTTTCCCGCCTGGGTTTTAAACTCTTGGGGTCCGTTGAGCTGGATTGCCTCACTTCCAGTTTTCCTTTGTAGTGGAATGTATATGGGGTCAAATTCAATGTGTTTATTAATAGCATGCTTTGTGGAGTGCCAGGCTTCTAGGAATTCTCATGCCTGTCTCCGCTTAGCTTGTCCCAGTCGAAATGGTGGTTCTCCTTGTCCATGTGGATTGAGATGAGTCAGTATTGGTCGTGTCTTTGTGTAGCCAGTTGGTGTTCGTGTACCCTTGTTGTGTTTATTAATAGCATGATACCCTAACAACAAGGGTACATGAACACCAACTGTCTACAAAAAGACACGACCAATACTCACTCATCTCAATCCACATGGACAAGGAGAACCACCATTTCGACTGGGACAAGCTAAGCGGAGACAGGCATGAGAATTCCTAGAAGCCTGGCACTCCACAAAGCATGCTATTAATAAACACATTGAATTTGACCCCATATACATTCCACTACAAAGGAAAACTGGAAGTGAGGCAATCCAGCTCAACGGACGCCAGAGTTTAAAACCCAGGCGGGAAAACACACCAATGCTTCATCGGAGGCTGCACTGAGGATGCTACCCAGCATGGTAACGAAACATCTGCGAAACAAGAAACCAGCTCGGCGAGCCGAACAACCTCAACGCCCACAACCTGAGCTACAGACCTACTCCAAAACCTTAGAGTCTTTGTACGTTGCCTTATTTGCTGACACCCTTCACAGCTTTCTGCTTCTTAATTGATCTTTACAAGCACCTCACTTTTTGTAAAATCCATCTGGTTCAAAAATCCCTTTTGTTTTTTTTTGGGGAAGCCATCTTTACCTGGTCTGGTCTACATGTGACTCCAGACCCACACAAATGTGATTGACTCTTAACTGGATCTCCAGACCTTTCTCAGAGGGCACACAGTTCAAGGCACTTAGGGATGGGCAACAAATGTCAGCCTTGCTGGTGACAAAACAAAAACATGCACTTAACACAATTCTTTTAACTTTAAAATTTTCAAACTTATTGTGTGCACTTGAGTAAACTGACACTGCTGCGGACTTTCAGATGGCACACTAGACAAATCTTTCATCATTTTGTTTCATTCCTACTGATGCGTGAGGGATTTGGCACAATACTGGAATTCATTTTCTGATTAGGCGGATCATGTTAATCTTTGGCTGTATTGGCATTAATCCAGTCTGTTCTTAGTTGTACTTTTTTGTTTGAATTATCTGTAGCAGCAGGCAGTTTAAAGAACATCAAGAAAAAAAAAGTACCTAAAAGCACTGAAGCATTGTCAAAGCAACTACTGAAACATACACGATCAGAACGAATGCTATGTAATGTGAAGTTTTTGCTTTCATTCTTCCAGATGCTCCTGTTTTTTTGATTGCTGTCATGTTTCTCAATATTATGGATATTTTTATATTTCTGGCTAGCCATGACATTAAGCAGCTCAAACTGTTCAGAATGCACTCTGAGGTACCCTAATGAAGGAGACTGCCACATATTGGTGATAAGGATTTGAATTAATTTCCAGATACCTGTATTCTAGTTGGGATCTATTTTTATGTTGGGAATTCTAATTCAGCAAATGGAAGGTGGCTTTTATGCAAGTTCACAAATAATTTGTACCTAAGCAACTGCAAATTAACAGACTACATATGAAAATTATAAGACCATTGTAAAGTGCCTAATCTATTGAATGAATTTTCTGAAGTAGATCTTTAGCCTGTTAAATTTCCATCTTTACTCAGATGAATTAGATGATACTGAAGATGAGTGTCTGAATGAAGCAGTAACTGAGGACACCATTTCAATCAGTTCCAGTTCCAGCACTGAACAAGAAGCCAATTGTGCCAGGGCACAGACCCACTTATATTTTGAAACAGATGATGATGGTAACATTGCTTCTGAGAATGTCAGTTCCTTCTCTGGTCAAGATGCTTCAAACAGAAAAAGGCTCAGGCCATGGATGCTACAATGTTCCATTAGGTAGGTTATAAAATTAGATCCCAAATTTAAAAAAAAATTTTTTTTTGGGGCCAGTGATTTATTTCCAATCACTAATTGCTCTTGAGTAGTTGCTGATGATCCAGCACCTTGAATCACTGCAGTTCAAGTGGTGCAGGTCATTGGTTTGGAAGGATTTGTCAAAAGAGCCTTGCTGAGTTGCTGTTGTAAATCTTGTCGGTAGTACATGCCACTGTGCATTGATCAACAGGGTGCCAGTCAAATAGTTGTTTTGTCCTGGACAGGCAAGTATTTCATCACATTCCTCACCTTGTGCTTCTAAATGGTGGACAGACTTTGATTCAGGAGCTGAGTTACTCACTACAGAAGTCCTAAGTTCTGATCTCTGTTCTAGCTGTAGTATTTGTGTTGCTGATCCAATAAAGTTTCAGGTTAATGGTAACCTCTAGGATGTTGATTTGTGAGACATTCGGCATTAGCAATGTCATGGGAAATGGTTAGATTCTAATTGTGTAATCAATGAACATTCCCATTTCTTTCCCTATACTTGGGGGGGGGGGGGGGGAGAAAGGGGGGAAGAAAGGTTATTGATGATGTAGCTGAAGATGTTTGGACCTGCAGAGATGTCCTTGAACTGTAGTCAGTTTCCAAGTGACTATCAGGGCGACTTGAGGGTGGCCCGGTGGCACAGTGGCTCAGTGGTTAGCACTGCTGCCTCGCAGCACTAGGGACCCGGGTTCGATTCCATCCTCGGGCGACTGTCTGTGTGGAGTTTGCACGTTCTCCCCGTGTCTGCGTGGGTTTCCTCCCACAGTCCAAAGAAGTGCAGTTTAGGTGGATTGACCATGATAAATTCCCTGTAGCGTTCAGGGATGTGTAGGTTAGGTGGGTTATAGGGGAATGGGTCTGGATGGGATGCTCTGAGGGTCGGTGTGAACTTGTTGGGCCAAAGGGCCTGTTTCCACACTGTAGGGATTCTATGATATCACATCCAGCAAAAAGGAAATGACTACAACCAAGGGAGAGTGGTGTTTCTTTTTCCCCCCAATTCCCACTGACTTCTGTTTTGTCAAGCCGATTTTGATACATTCGGTAAAATGGTCTTTTGATGTAAAGAAGTGACCTAGTTACTAAAATGTCTGTTTGCACTCGAGTCCCAAGCTAGATCTTGACACTGGACAGACATCCTGTGCAGTAATATAGTAAAGCAATCGTATTACAATTTCATGTTACCACTCGTTACAATGCTGTTGGTATGAAAGTGCAAAGCACACAATGTAGGGTGCACTTCTTTTTTAAAAAAAAAACATTCATGGGATATGTACGTCTCTGCCTATGCCAGCATTTATTGCTTATAAGGCAGCTAAGAGTCAATCACATTGCTGTGGGTCTGGAGCCACATGCCGACCAGACCAGGAAAGGATGACCGATTTCTTTCCCTAAAGGACATTAGTGAACCAGATGGGTGTTTCCCCAACAACTGACAATGAATTTATGGTCATCATTAAGACCCTTTAATTCCACTTTCCTGATTGAATTCTGCCATGGTGGGATTTGAACCCAGGTCCCCAAAACATTTGAGTGTTTCTGGAGTAATAGTCCAGTGATAACACCACTAGGTCATTGCCTCCCTGAGCTATTAATGAGTACTGTGTTGAAAGAGTAAAATCTCTGGCTAACCCACAATGTATTTGTAATTCTTGATTAATAGTATCAGAGGGCAAATACGTCACTAAAGTAAGGGGAATTAATCAGGCTTTTGAGGCTGAGGGTTTTTTTCCTGGAAATTACCTTAACATAAGCCCTTTGTTTCATACATGCGTAATTGTGTATTTTTGTAAACTAGCACTGCTATTTAATGGGGGAAGTCTGCTTAAATTTTCAAAGAAACAGTCTCTTAAGGAGATACAAAGAAAAAAGTATGCGCAATGGGAAGTAATGTTTGTAAAATTCCATGAAGGAAAAATGTTTTTGTCTGAACTGAACACCTGCTAAAACTCAAGCATTCCACTGATTATCCCGTTTCCATAACTATCTATAGTACTTTCCTTTCTTTTAGGTAACTTTTAAAAAGGGTATTTTAATTACATCTATATTTTGCTTTGTGGCAACCAATCCTAATCACATCAGTTACTGTAAACTTAAATTTAATCCATACTTATTTCTCCTACATTTCAGGAGTCGAAAGGCTACTTGGAAGCGCAGCAACCTCAGATTATTATCCAGAAGACAGCATAGCCAGCCACGTTGATAGTGTTTCCTTTTTAATGGGATGATTGCGAAGATGACTCTTTAAATGAATGTTTTGCTCATTTCTATAATTAATGGTGCACCCTTAAACTGTTTGATTCTTGTAAGTCAGTAATAGTAAATGTTTGCTAAAGGTAGTTGTTATATCTAGACCTGCCACTAGTATGTTTCTTCTCCAGCGATGAAGGTATGGTGCTGGCCCAATTAAAAACAAGTCTCTTCTTCCACAAACCCCTCCCTCAATAAATGTGACCTGAGTTATGTTTCAAATACAGGCTTAAATTATACTTTATCATACTGTCTTCTCATGCTCTTTTTACCATGTTATATTTTGAATGCAAAAATGCTTTAAGTCTAGAATTTGATGGAAAAATATTCAGGTGCAGTGAACTAACTCTTAATTTCCTATGCAATTTTTTTCTTTGCCGTTGCATTAAATTGGATTTATGCATGTTGTGATGAACAAAGTTTTCATCTGCATTGAACTTACAATCATGAATTATTCATTATTACACACTGTATGCAATCTTGTTTTTGTAATTTTATTTCATTTCTTGCACTTTATGAAAATTTAGCACAGTACAAGAAGTCCAAAATGCTATCTTAGCTACATGTTAAAAAATGTGATAATGGTACTCAGATTTCATTATCACGCCAAGTGAAGCAGAGATCCCAATACTTATTCGGAGGAAACCTGAAAAGAAAGCTGTGAAGCAGGCAACTTCCTATTTTTTTCTGGTGTGCTTTTACCACTGGATTAACTTTGCCTAAAAACTTTCATTTGTAATATTTTCTATCCTGTAACTTGGATAAGACGGTGATTAAATTTTTTAATCCAAAAGTTCCATCTCAAAAAAAATTCAATGGAGGAAATAAAGTAATCCCAGTGCGTCGGCAAAGTTGCTTTTTTTGGGGCAGTTACTGAGTCTTAAGCTGTCTACCTGGTTCTGCTGTCCTATTAGTATAGTATAACCATTGTTATTGAACTTTATACTTAAATTTGCAGCACAGAGTTATATTTGGCTATTCTACATTTGTAAACTTTTTGAAATAAAGAATTAGCATTGAATTTTTCTAAATGTTGAATGTTTAAGATGTTAACAAAAGTTCGTTAATCAATTGACTAGATTTTTATACGCCTGCAATTAAACTGACATTTTTAGTTTACTTACTATAGATAACTACTTGGATGCAGATACAGAATGTAGTATAGCTAAGTTTGCAGATGACAAATAGGTGAAAAGGCAAATATGAGGGTGACACTGTGCAGGGGGATATAGACTGGCTGAGGTTCAGCAAAAAGTGGCAGATGGAATAACAAAGGAAGAATGAAGTTCTGAATATTAAATGGAAAGACTGCATATTTTTTAAAAAACTCAAAAGCTAGCATACAAGTTCAGCTAATGAGAAAGGAAATGGAATACAAAAATAGAGGTCTTCCTGAAACACAGACCACATCTTGCAAAGAAGTGTTGGTCCCCTGGCCTAAAGGAAGATGAGCTGATATTAGCAATAGTTCAGAGAAGGTTCCAGAAGGCTGACCTAGGACTGTCTTATGAAATGTTGAATATATGTGGCCTGTAATCCTTGGAGTTCAGAATAAAACAAATTCTTGAGGCACTTTACAGTGTAGATGCAGAAAAGTTTGTTTCTCCTGTGTGGGATAATGGAGGGCCAGAGGGCATTAATCTCAATAAGTCACTCAATTTACAACAGATAAGGAGGAATTTCCTGATGATAGTGATCTGCAGAATTCTTTACCTCAGAAGGCTGGGTCATTAAGTATTCAAGGATGTGATGGACTAGATCAGTTTTTAAATTGGGAAAGGAGTCAAGGGTTTATAGGGAAAAGGCAGAAAAGTAGAATTGAGGATTCAGATCAGCCATGATCTCATGGAATAGCAAAACTGACTAGATGGGCTGAATGGCCTACTTGTAGCTTCTACCTCAAACTAGTGATCATTCATCTTATGCTACTGACTTATTTGGGGCTTGCATTTTCAGTAACTCATGAACTATTGCCTGTCCTATAAACAAACCAGGGAACTTTAATTTCATGGGGCACACATACTGCCTATTCTGAATTTAACTAGCAGCAGCTGCAAGTACAGTGTGCTGGTAAGGAAGTTAAAATTTTGAACTCCAGTATCAGTGAAGTAACAATTCCAAACAAGACTATATCTGATTAGAAGAAAAACCTTCCAGCTATCCTTCAAGGTGGTAGAGATCATAGGTTTGAAAGGTGCAGATGACAGAGGCTTAGTCAGTTGTGTCACGGGATGTTAATACGACTGCGACTTTTCACGTCTTCAGAGACCAGCTTTAGTTTTGAAGAAGTCTTGCCACACTTCGAATTCTGTGGGCTGCACGCCACCTGTAATCAAAGTACACAAGCTAGAATACTGGCTGCAACTAAACATGCACAGCCACAAGTAAAAATTCATTTTTGAAAGAGGATGTTGCAAACAAAAACACTTAAAAAGTTCAATTAAAAATTTATTGGCACACGGGTTTTATTGACCACAAACAATATAGAAGTAGGCAATAAGCTTTAGTGTACCATTTAATGTAGGCACACTAATCTTACCCACAGTAACAGACAGTGCCATGGATAACTTTCAGAGGGTGCCAGTCACTATCCGAATAACCAGCACGTGTTCCCAAGTGCTGAACCAGGTTATTAGTAACCTACAGATACTAGTGACAACAATTCCGAAAAAAAGTTAATGCAAAACTCTGGATGGTTATTATATCAGTGTTAGATATTACAAATATACCCATTAAGTTTAAAAATAATTATACTTGATGTTGACACCGTTTAGCACCTGATCTCAACATTTACAGATTCTATTTTTTTCAGTACGAGGTTACGACTTTAATTTAGAGGCGTGCGAACAATTTTAAACTGACAACGTAATATTAATATTTTTAAATATATGGGGCAAAAATATTCGGATTAAAATAATTTAAGATTCAGGTTTTTCTTCAATCCGAAAATAAGATTTACATTTTCAAATTGAACTGGATCACGCGCCAGGGTATTTGAAAGCTATTTTCAGAAATTTGTAATTTAATATTAAATTTTACACACTTACCTCACTTTATTAAACATCCTTCCTCTGTGGCTGGGAAGGGCGGCAACAGGCGTTTATATAAAAGCGAACTGTTCAACCCCGAATCTGAATAATACAATCCTCAACCTGCTTCTCAAAGGTGGAAGTAATTATATATGCGCGGTTCGGGGCTCCAAAGCCGGCCGGGGAGCCCCTTAATCTGAATAACACGGGTGATAAGGCGCTTCCTGAACGTGAGCATAATGATATATGCTCGATCCAAGGTCTCCCCGCATCCTATCGCGAGATCCCGGAGTCTTTAAAAGGCCTGTTCGGGCAGCCTTTGGCCTTCTTTTTGAAAACCATCACGTAAGTAATGGCGGACCGGAGCGTCTGCAATCGGCGAAATAGCTCAGCCATCCTCCTCACAGCAGCTCAGCCCGAGGCGGCCATGCCCTTATCTAATCTTTATAAAGTGATCCGTGTGGATATTGTGTTTATTTAACGTGAAAGGAATTCGCATTATGAGCATTTGGCGGGAGGGTGGTAGGTTCGGGGTTCAGGTCTCCCCGCGCCGTGTGGCCCGGCCGTGTTTGCTCGGATGGAGCCGGATTGTAGTGAATGAATCCTTCGGGTAAAGTTCACTTGTCTAATCCAGGGTGGGATGAGGCTGTACCAGTGATGGCCGGTCACCTACATGGAGCCATTGTAAACTGCAGCAGCAAGTGGTACTGGAGGGGAATACTGCAGCCTGAAAGATCATTATTTCCTGAAGCTGCAATTCTACCTGTACAATGTGTGTAAAAGGTGATAAATTCAGCCAGGATGATGAATCCTAGATTACCAGTGCCAGTTTAATCTCACCATACCATTGAAATTCAGAGCATCCCACCAAACCCCCCAATCTACACATCCCTGATCACTATGGGCAATTTAGCATGGCCCATCTACCTTGCCTGCACATTTTTGGATGTCGAGGAATTTTGTGTTTCAGTATGTAAAGAGCATAAGTAAGAAGATACCTTACAAACGCACCACGGTGGAGGGCTACTGATATGTAAAAAAATGTTTTCGGTTTCTCTCTGCTAGTGGTTTTGCCTCAGGGACTTAAATTCAGAAGTCCCGCCCCAAGTTGGTAAGTTCAGCACTGAGGATGAGGTGCTCTTTTTCCAGATGAGATTGAATTAAGGCCTTAACAGCTTCCATGGCTTTATCCTCAAAAATGTTGGGATGGTCTTGCCTGTGTCCTGACCAATATTTATCCCTGAGGTTACCATGAAAGACTCTTCTGGTCCCCTCTCCTTACCTGAGGCATGGTAGCCCTCAGTTTAAACCGCCACTCTTAATGAAGAACAGCCCTATGGTCTGGGAGAATTGTGCTGAGGTTGCCTTTATTTATCATTAACCAGCAGTACAGTAGTTTGTACAGCCATTACCTTACTGCTGTTTTAAAAATTAACTGCTTCATTTCCTGATTAAAAATGACTAAAATTTAACTAGTTTACTGGTAGTAATTTTGGAAGGTTGTGAGAGGGAATATATAAATTGCGGTGTTATCAGCAAAAGCTGAGTGAAATGATAGGTGCAGAAGATGAATCCATTGAACCTTTGGCCCTTTCAAATGGGTTCCATTCCTATGCAAGCATTTCCTTTTGATCATCTGTTGAAAATTAGTTTCGAATGTGTTTTCACCACCCCTTCAGGTTCAGGTGATCCAAAGAAAAGGTCATTCCCTCTGGCAAGATGATCGTCCTGCACAAAAAAATGACTCTGGCTGTAATTTATACTATTAACGTAGGAAATGTTGTGTAAGAATGGTTTAAAGGTTATTGTGCAAATGTAGCTTTTGTTGATCCCCACACTGGAAGCAACACAACATAATTTGTACAGCAACTGAGTCAGAGGTTGGGATTACTTAAAGTTCTTCTGAAAATGTGTGTATTGTGACTGAAGGCTTTGATTTTTTATTTATAGCAAATGGCGGACGACGCCGGTGGTAGAGGAGGCTTCCGCGGTGGCTTCGGCTCTGGTGGCCGTGGGCGGGGGCGAGGCCGTGGAAGGGGACGTGGCAGGGGTCGTGGTGCTCGTGGTGGAAAGGCTGAAGATAAGGAGGTAAGATGCACATTCCCATTTATTCATGTAATAGGTTTTGCGTTATTAAAACCACAAAATTAATTGAATTGGCTCAAGTCCTGATGCATTTTGCCTTTTCTCCCTTCTTCCACAGTGGGTGCCAGTAACTAAGCTTGGCCGTTTGGTAAAGGATATGAAAATCAAGAGTCTGGAGGAAATTTACCTCTTCTCCCTTCCTATCAAGGTAATATCGATGAGATAATTTACACCAAACTGCCTGTGGTAGATTGAGTAGATCAGCCAGCTTCAATAATCTACTCATAACTGTAGATTTTTATATACATTTTCTTTATTATAGGAGTCTGAAATAATTGACTTCTTCCTGGGATCAGCCTTGAAGGACGAGGTTCTCAAGATCATGCCTGTACAGAAGCAAACCCGTGCTGGTCAGCGCACAAGATTTAAGGTAAAGTTTTACTCAGGCCACAGACAGCTCCCATACCCCTTATCCTGCATGAATTTCCTTGATGTCTAATACGGAATCTTAATGTTATTCTTAAAACATTTCAGGCTTTTGTTGCAATTGGTGACTATAATGGACATGTTGGTTTGGGTGTCAAGTGCTCGAAGGAAGTGGCCACTGCAATTCGTGGAGCTATCATTCTGGCAAAGCTGTCGATCATTCCAGTAAGGAGGGGTTACTGGGGTAACAAAATTGGAAAACCCCACACCGTACCATGCAAGGCAAGTATAAATACCATTGAATAATTTACGCATAACTTTATATTTTTATCAGGAATGTAAAACAAGAGAATTGGTTTCAGTTAAAGGAGATTTAATTTTGGTGCTGATCTCTAGAAAGACTATGAACTATAGCTGGTACTGCACAATCGTTCATTGTATTGGCTGCATCAATGTAATAACGTGCAGTTCCTCAATCATAGGAAGATTACCATGTCAGTGTACAGTGCTGTTCTGGTTTGTGTGTGATATTTGTTCTGCATTGATGGGAATTGCTTGAAATTTGAACTGCCAGTTTTGTACAGTGTCTTGTAGTTTGCTGTTGAAAGGTTTCCATTGCTTTTATTTGTGAATGACTAATTTTATGATGTATTGACCAAACGCTGTAACAAAATCTTAATGTTTTAGGTGACTGGGCGTTGTGGTTCAGTCTTGGTGCGTCTGATCCCTGCTCCTCGTGGTACTGGTATTGTCTCAGCTCCAGTCCCCAAGAAACTACTCCAGATGGCTGGTATTGATGATTGCTATACCTCTGCCAGGGGCTGCACAGCCACACTGGGCAACTTTGGTAAGTTAGGTTTCTACAAACAGTGTCTGGACAAGAGTTTTTATTTTGGTGCTTGTGGTCTGTAAATTTCCCGAAGTACTGTTGAATTCTCTCAGCTCTGCTCAATTAACCTGGCAGTGGTGAAATTGGCATATTAAGAGAGAGAGAGTAATGGAGCACTGCACGGCAGGTAGATCTTCTGTGTAGTTTACCTGTTCCATTTGAAGCTCAACAGGCTTGGAAGTTTTATTTTGTAAACTGAAAGATGCCGTCTTCCTCCTGTAACTTGCTGTTTTGCTTGTCTATAGCTAAAGCAACATTTGATGCCATCTCCAAGACCTACAGCTATCTGACCCCAGATCTGTGGAAAGAGACTGTGTTTACTAAAGCCCCATACCAGGTTTGAAAGCTGAAACTAAACTTTACTGAGTTTTCTAGGAAATATGATGAGATTTAGAAATTATTTGAGATAATCCTTTGCTTTCATGTTTCTCAACTGTTAATGTTATTGCACCATCTGTATCTGAAGTTATCAACCTTTTTGGCTTCTAAGGCACAATGTTCTCTGCCCTGCTTTAGGAAAACAAAACTATACCATCCCCAAGTAACATGATTTTGAAATTAGTTAGGTACTTAAGTGTATTGGGCCAGATTTTCCAGTTAATGGCAATTAAGATTGCCACTCTGGCCCTTTCTTTACGAAAGAAGAGAGATTCATATTTCTGAAAGTAGATTCTGATCACGGCTCCCTGACAAATGTGGAGCCATACATCCATTCTGGCAGCTTTTTTCCTGCCACAAAGCTATCAGAGGAAGGCAAACCACATCCCCCTTTTCACCGCAATCAGCTCTATTCCATAGAATTTCAACAGAATCGCTACAGTGTGGAAACAGGCCTTGAGAGCCACTTTGCCTGCTCCTGTCAAAGAGTGAGTACGTAGGATAAGAATGATGTTAAAGTGCTGGAAGGATAGGGTTGCCAGCTGGGTAGAAAGGGATATGGTGACAGGATACCAGATGGGTGGAGTGCAAGCTGAGTGGAGGGTAGGATGGAAGTTTAAGGCCAGCAAAATCAAGCTCAGGGTCTGGGAGCATCAGTAGTGTTGATCTAAAGTTTGCATTTCATTTTCTGGATAGTCCAAGTGATGTCCTCCTGAATAAGGCGTTGTGAGGGATCTGGGGTTTGAAAATTGATTAAGTATTGGTGGGGGTC